GAGAAACAGATTTGCAAACATGCAACAAGATTCTTCTAACAAGAATCATTGGTGGCCAGTGGATTGGAGGGAGAAAAGTACGGAGGGTGATGGAGTAGCCCGGATCAGGGATTTCTAAGGCCTAGGCTAATCCTTAACTAGAAAGGACAGTATCAGTAACTGACGATATCAGGTAAAGTAAAAAGTGAGGCGCCAGAACCCTGGGTAGGTGGAATAACAACCTTGAAGACAGGGTGGTTGTAGTGGGATAAGGCATTCGAATTTCAATTCTTTTCTTGCTTGATTTTTTTTTAGAAGCTGGAATTACAAACACCTGCCACCACACCTGGCTAATTTTTGTATTTTTAGTAGAGATGGGGTTTTACCATGTTGGCCAGGCTGGTCTCGAACTCCTGACTTCAGGTGATCCGTCCGCCTTGGCCTCTCAAAGTGCTGGGACATATGTGAGCCACCGCGCTTGGCCGCTTCACTTTTATTTCTTATTTCTTATGCTGCCAGGCACCTGGCATTCACTGCCCCTTTCAGTTCTCCAGTGGCAAGTTAACAGCCCCTCCTACTGCCATTCTAACACAGATATTTCTTTTCTTTTCTTTTTTTTTTTTTTTTGAGATAGTCTCACTGTCGCTCAGATTGGAGTGCAATGGCATGATCTTGGCTCACTGCAACCTCTGCCTCCCGGGTTCAAGTAATTCTCCTGCCTCAGCCTCCTGAGTAGCTGAGATTACAGGCGTGCGCCACCATGCCCGGCTATTTTTTCTATTTTTTGTAGAGATGGGGCTTCATCATATTGGCCAGGCTGGTCTCGAAATCCCAACCTCGTGATCCACCCACCTCAGCCTCCCAAAGTGCTAGGATTACAGGCATGAGCCACCATGCCTGTCAGATGTTTCTTGATTTGTAACATCTGAGAGACCCATCCTCAGGCCCTAAGCATTCCACTCCTCTCATAATTGTTTCCAAGCCCAATAACCACATTATAAATCAAACGAGATTCAGAGAATGGCCAAAGGGAATGTTTACTGAGTACCTACCCTGTCTGGCACTCTGCAATACACTTGTATATAGATAAGACATATAGTTCAACCATTACATAGTTATATGATTGATAGTTATACATGGGTTAACTGCTGGGGATTGGTTCCAGGACCACCTGTGAATACCGAAATCTGCAGGTGCTCAAGTCCTATAGTTGGCCCTGCCAAACAGCAGATATGAAGTCAGCTCTTCAGATCTGTGGGTTCTGCATCCTTACAATATTTCCTTTCCTTTTCTTTTCCTCCATTCCTCCCTCTCTTTCTTTCCTTTTTTTTGGGGGGGGAGATGGAGTCTTGCTGTGTCAGCCAGGCTAGAGTGCAGTGGTGCGATCTCAGCTCACTGCAACCTCCACCTCCTGGGTTCAAGCAGTTCTCCTGCCTCAGTCTCCCAAGTAGCTGGGATTACAGGCACACGTCACCACGGCCGGCTGTTTTGTAGTTTTAGTAGAGATCCGGTGTTTCACGATGTGGGCCAAGCTGGTTTTGAACTCCTGACCTCAAGTATCTGCTTGCCTCGGCCTCCCAAAGTGCTGCGATTACAGGCGTGAGCTGCTGCGCCTGGCCTTTTTTTTTTTTTTTCCTGAGGCAGAGTTTCGCTCTTGCTGCCCAGGCTGGAGTGCAATGGCACGATCTTGGCTCACCACAACCTCTGCCTCCCAGGTTCAAGCGATTCTCCTGTCTCAGCCTCC